GGGTCACACTTAAAATAATGAATCACGGGTTCACTCTTGGAAAAATGGGTCACACTTCAAATAAATAGGTCAATAAATAGGTCACTTCGAAAAATGGTTCACACTTGGAAAAAGGTCACACTTGAAATAAAAAGTAAGTCACAGTTGGAAAAAGGACATTTTGGGAAAATGGGTCATACTTAGAAAAGTGACTCAAATTTGAAAAAATGTTTCAAGCTTGGAAAAACGGGTCACACTTTCAAAAAAGAGTTACATTTATAAAAAAAGGTCACATTTGAAACAATGGATCACACTTGGAAAAAAGGGTCGCATTTGGAAAAATTTGGTCACACTTGGAAAAATGAGTCATACTTGAAAAAATGAGTCACACTTGGGAAAAAAGGGGTTCACACTTAAATGGGTCATACTTGGAAAGATGGGTTAAACTTGGAAAAATGGATCACTCTTGGAAAAAAGGAGGTCACACTTGAAAAAAGGGGTCACAGGTCCAAAAATTGGTCACACTTGACAAAAGGACCCACTTGGAAATATGGATCACACTTGGAAAACTGAGTCACATGTGGAAAAACAGGTCACACTTGAAAAAAAGAGTCACACTTGGAAAAATGGGTCACACTTGGAACAATGGGTAACATTTGGAAAAATGAATCACACTTCGAATAAAAGAGGTGACACTTAGAAAAAAGGTCAAACTTGCAAAGATGAGTTACACTTAACAAAATGGGTCACATTTGGAAATAAATGGGTTACTTTTTGAAATATGGGTCACATTTGGGAAAATGGGTCACAGTTAGAAAAGTGGGTGAAATTTGGAAAGATGGGTCACCCTTGGAAAAAAGAGTTACACTTTGAAAAAAAGGACACACTTCGAACAATAGGTCATACTTGGAAAAAAGGGTCACACTTGGAGAAAACGGTCACACTTGGGAAAATGGGTTACACCTTGAAAAATGGGTATCACTTGGAAAAATGAGTTCCATTTAGGAAAATGGTTAACACTTGGAAAAATACGTATCACTTGGAAACATGGGTCACACTTAAAAAAGTATGCGAAACTTGAAACAATTGGTCCCACTTGGGAAAAAGGGGTTTACACATGCAGAAATGGGTCACACTTGAAAAAAAATGGGTTACAGTTGGAAAAAAGAAACACACTTCCAAAAATGGGTTACACTTGGAAAAATGGACCACACTTGAAAAAATGGGTCACACTTGGAATATGAGTCTCACCTGGAAAAAAGGGTCACACTTGTAAATATGGGTAAAACTTGGAAAAATGGATCACTCCTGGAGAAAAGGATTACCCTTTGAACAATGGGTCACACTTGGAAAAATGGGTCACATTTGGAAGAATGGGTAACACTTAAAAAAGTGGCTCAAATTTGGAAAAAATGGGTCACACTTTGAAAGACGGGTCACACTTGGAAGAAAGTGTCACACATAGAAAAAAGGTCACACTTGGAACAATAGATCACACTTTAATTGAGTTGTACATAGAACTTTTAATTAATTTACCTTTTAACAGTTATATCTTTATTCCGAAAAGTCCTTTTGGGACGAATAAAGTATGTATGTATGTATCTACTTCAATCAATGGACCACGCCTTGATAAACGGGTCACACTTGGAAAAATGGGTCACATTTGAAAAAATGGGTCATTTTTGGAAGAAAGGTCACACTTGAAACAATGGGTCACTCTTGGAAAAAAGAGTAACACTTGGAGAAATGGGTCACACTTGGAAAAATGGGTCATACTCGGAAGAATGGGTCACGTTTGAAAAAATGGGTCACACTTGGAAAAACAGGTAACACTTGGAAATATGGGTCACACTTAGAAAAGTGGATCACAATTAATAAAATTAGTCACACTTGGAAAAAATAGGTCACACTTGGAACAATGGATAACACTTGAAAAAATGGATCACACTTCGAAAAAAGTGTCACATTTTGAAAAGTGGGTCACACTTGGACAAATAGGTAACACTTGAAAAAAATGGGTCACACTTAGAAAAATGGGTCAAATTTGCAAAAGTGGGTCACACTTAGAAAAGTGGGTCACACTTGAAAAACTGGGTCACACTTAACTAAAAGGGTCACTCTTTGAAAAATGGGTCACACTTGCAAAAATGGGTCACATTAAAAAAAAATAAGTCACACTTGGACAGAAAGGAAACACTTGGAAAAAGAGATCACACTCAGAAAAGTGGGTCACGCTTAAAAAAGTGGATCATACCTGAAAAAAGGTTCATACTTGGAAAAATGGGTCATACTTGGAAAAATGGGTCACACTTAGACAAATGGGTCACACTCAGAGAAGTGGGTCACACTTGAAAAAATGGATTATACTTGAAAAAGAGGTTCACACTTGCAAAAATGGGTCACACAGGGAAAAAATTGGTCACATTTGGAAAAAGGGGTCACATTTAGAAAAGTGGGTCTCACTTGGAAAAATTGGTCACACTTGAATAAAAGTTTCACTCTTGGAAAAATGGGTCACATACTGGTCACATATAAAAATAGGCAACACTTGAAACAACGGGTCACACTTAGAAAAGTGGGTCACATTTAAAAAATGAGTAACACTTGGAAGGGAAAAAGAGGTTCACAGTGGCAAAAAAAGGTTCACACTTGGAAAAATGGGTCACACTTGGAAAAAGGGAGGTCAGCCTTGGAATAGAGTCAAACTTTGAAAAAATTGGTCACCCTCAAACAAAGGGCCACACTTGGACAAAAATGAAACACAAGAGAAAACAAAGAGGTCAAACTCAGAAAAGTGGGTCACACTTGAAAAATGGATCATACTTGAAAAAGGGGGTTCACACTTGGAAAAATGGGTCACACTTGGAAAAGTGAGTCATACTTGGAAAAATGGGTCAAGTCGAGTTAGTGGAGAATTAAGAGATCCACCATTATGTCAAATAAGGATTTTTAAAAGCCTCTAAAAATAATTCGTCTCGAAAGCTTAGTATATGCATCCGATGCGGCTTCATTCTGGCAGTTCCGTGAATTGACTACGTCATACTCCAAAGACTATGATTCTTCGGCTGATTATCGAATTCTGAACTCTTTTGAAATCCGTCCACAAAGTCCTGGGCTCAACCATAGTAAACGAAGCATCGGAAATGTCAGAATACCTGCTTCTGTTTGTAGAAAAACAAAGATGGCCGTTCTAAAATCAGGATGAAATCTCCCCACACGATTCAACTTAACAAGCAGCAATTTGATTGGTTGTTTATAGTAGCTCCAATCTGATTGGTGTGGCATACATACATCTCTCACTCATCCATGGACCCATTGACTCGATGATAACATACCCATAACCCACCAACTAAGAGGTATTTTTTGCAAAAATATAACTCAAAAATGATGCCATTATGTGCCAGACCTCCAGCCACTGTACACTAATGTCTGATGGTGTATAAGAAGCTCAGCTAATTAGAACGCAGCATTAGTATACTAGTATAATTCAATTAAAAAAAGTTGCTCTCACATCAAAAAAACTCTGGACAGTAAGTATTTTATTGTGTACTCTCTTACTAAGAGCATATAAAATGAGTTTTATTGGTGTTTGTTATTTTTCACCGAACAGTTCATAGAGTGACTCCTTAGCACTGAGTATTGACAACTGGAGTGTCTTTTTTGATGTATTTTTGACATCGATTATATGATAGGTATTCCATTTAGAATCAAAAAAGAAAGTCCTGGGAACTTGCACCATGCAACTTCACAAATTGTAACACCTTATAATCCATCAAATATCTTTGCTCACACGCCATTGGTCTAAATGCATCACAAGACTGAATATGCCTCAGCTAAAACTGGGAAATATCCAAGAGTTATAATCCATCAAATATTTTCGCTCGCACGCGATTGGTCTAAATGCGTCACGTGATTAAATATGCCCCAGCTAAAAATGGGGCATATCCGCGTGATATTCCCTAATTTTCAAAACTACGCATTGCAAAAAAATATTTGAAGGATAATTAACACAATAGCGTCTATTTGGGGTAAAAATAAGCTCGGATATTTGTCCTTGGACATTGTCTGTTCCTCAAAGCTCACAGTTTTCCTCGAGCTATGCTCTCGGAAAACTCTTCACTTCTCAGAACAGATAATGTTCGTGGACAAATATCCAAGCATATTTTATCGCCAAATGGAGGCTATTGTTTATATACATTACATATTTACTACGTTATTTAAATGATGCTACACAAATGTTTTTAAGACACTAGATCTAAGATTTTCATCGAAAATGTAGAAACAATGTTTTTCTTAAAAAAGATAGTGTGACACATGTTACAAAAATACTACTTAAAAAGACTACTAAATATATTGTATTTGAATACAGTTGGTATTCTATTTTGCAAGGCAAATAAAATTATACCAAGGTACAAAAATTTTTGTCCATACCACACTTAAAATAATCATTTTTGCTCTCAATTATCCTTAATCTTGGTATCAAAATGTGACTTTAATAACTTTCCCAAGTATCTAGTACAAGACTGAACGTAATTCACTGTACATTAAATCCTGACATATGAAAACCAGGTATTTTTGTTAGCCAGGATGAAAAAAATATTAACCTGCTAGGATTTAAGATAACAATTTTATGGGGCCCAATGATAATAAAACTGTTAACGATGTGGTCTTGCTGTCTAAATGTTGAAATATTACTCTCTATTTGACAATTATTAATGATAACTACTTTAGATTAAAATCGCTATTCATTTCATTGTTAATTTGTTTATTTCAAAATATTTCATTCTCTCAATTTTAAAATTATTGTTGTGAATATAATCATTTCTTTGAAGATGCTCAAAATAGTAAGATTGTTCTGTGTGAAATTGATAAAGTTCATTATAATTACTGAACATGAATAAACTGAGGAATGGAATGAAAAATGTATACGTAAGTATTAACTCGAGTAGAACATAAAGCAAGCTTTATTTATAAACAAGTATTCACCATTTTTTGTTGTATGGAAGATGGATATTCTTGTTAAAAATTATCATATTAATGAATTTAAATTTCTCTACTCCACACTTCAATTGAGCAATATTTTCAACCCTAAACAAAAAATAGCTAACTTGTCATTTGAGAATGCAAAATATATGACTGTAAAATAAAAAATATTAACGAGAAATTTTAAAAAAATTCATCTGTGCAGTGAATTTTTTTAATCAATACAGACTAGCAGTCCAGTTGGAGGTTCTTGTCTATCTTCTCTCTTCTCATCAGACAGTTGCTGCTGCCGATCACTTACATTATGAATGACAAGCTTCATCTTGTCCTGATGAAAGACATTAAAAAAACATTAAATACAATTCTGCTTGCTTGGGTAACATTGAGTAATAAGGCAAAGATAAGGGTGTTTGTGTTTGTATGTCTTTCTGTGACGATTTTAATTTCATTAGGAAACTACTGCTTTCCAACTATTAGGGTCTTAAATCAACTTTATCTCAATGCATGAATTATTTGGAAGACCTTGGTTATAGTTTACCATTTTTACAGCATAGTTAAACAATAATCACTACCTGATATTTTCCCCACATTGCAAAGATGTTGCTAAGCTTTTCCAGAGGATCCAGACATCTGCGTACTGAGAAAAAAACACAAGACCAATGAAAGCTGTGACAGTTTTTTCCAACCCGAAAAATGAAGGCAAAATGAATCTATTTTTTACAACAAACACAGCAGGATAATGTGACCTTCAAAAAGAGCTGTGCATATTGAAACTTGAATAAAGCTATTTTTGATAGTTTTTATGGTTTCACTTGCTGATCTTCTTAGAAATTTTAGGGTTGAATAGCAGAGGGGACAGCCAAAGCTAACGAAATGATAAATCAAGTGTGCACTAGACGTGAAGATGCTACAAAACACACTGTTTAAGCAGTATGGTACTAAAATACTTACCAGAACCATCTACTGATTCTTCCCACATTTCCAACACTGATGCGTCAACCTGTCCCCCCACAAAACTCTTGTGTCTGGTGTATTGGCTGAACAAAAGTAATGAAACAAGAAGAGTTAAATTAAAAAACAAAATGAAACAAGAACAGGAAGTTGCCAACTCATTCACGTTTCTCAAGGCAAGGTTCACTGCTCCAAGCTAAGGGCAAGGTACAATACGGTCCCATTGAAAACTCTTACTTGCTTCTGATCTCGTGCTACTGCTGAAACAAAACTCTTTAAATGTGACTTCTCAAACTCATTAATAATTCACCAAGTTAAAACAAAGAAAGTCACAACCGTGAAGCAGGTTTGGATACCCGGTCTTAATTAGCATAGATTTTGACGATTTTACTTCTCCGTTTACTCCTTAGGTTTTGTTTCGATTGGGAAGATATCAAACACTTGAGACAGTGATTCATCAGCTATTCAAACACCTTGAATTTCGTCAAAAATACTCGGCTACACGTCGTATTTTCAACTCTCTTCTCGGTATTTGGATATCCTGATGAAACACTGTCTCTCGTGTTTGACTTATTACTTACCGCATGACATCTGAGATCATAAATCCTGGCTCTATTTTACAGGTCTGAAAACAAAAAAACAGGTTATAATCAGTTGACTGGATTTTATGCCAAGGTCTCTCCATTATCTGCAAAACATTTCATCAAGTAATCATGTAACAATAATTACTATGTTCTGCTTACCTTGAATGTCTTGTCCGGCTTAAACACCTTTAACATTGTCATCTCTTGAATAACAGGTACTTTAAGCTTGCTTCCAGTCTGGAAAAATTTAAGTTTCATTATGTATTTGATATTAAACCCAAATTAATTTGTTGGGAGTATTCAAAGAATGACTGAACTGTCAGAGAATGGAAATATCTTTTCATTACAAACAGCAATGAACATTATTTAATATTGGTGATCTTTGATCCCTCCAGTTCATAATGATATTTTTATACAATTTTTTTACAGAATTATCATGATCATAATTTAAATTTCCTATTGAAAGTCAGCTACAAAAGTACAGCAGAGAGAAGCTTAGCCCTTTACAAGTATAAATTATGTCTCTCATGTTTAAAAGACACAAACAAGTGTAAGTATACATACCCACTCTATCATTTTCTTTTTTATTCCATTCAGTGCCACTGCCACAGGAACGGGGTGAAACTAAAAAACAAAACAAAAAGACAAAACCATGACGACAAAAACAAAATCTCTTGACAAATAAGTACCAATTGAAATTTATACAACTATAGTATGATAGGCTTCTTTTAACTTAATGACTAGACTAGAGCCACCGGATAGATGAGCCATCAGACTTATAATCAACCCACCTCATTTGTAGCAGTAAGTGTCGCTACATCAGGCCCCGTAACACATTGACCTGAAAATGAGTAAGCTGAGATCAGATAAGGCTCTGTACGCTAAAAGGCCTGGGGTTTTATCAGTCTATCTTCTAAACTCAAATCAAATCAAAAACCTGAATATAATCATTGTTGCAAAGCTGTCCACATGCAAAAGATCTAAAGTCCTGAAGTTCCAAAGAAAATCATGCCACATAATATTATGTCTTTGACAATTTTCTTGGCTAAATATATGGCAGATACATTTTAAAGGTATCATTATTCTCTGCCATAAGAAAACTACAGAAAGTGTCATGTTTACTTGACGGTTTAGCGAAAACCAATACAAAAAAGACTGAGTGACTGAATAGTGTTGGTTATTGACCATTTTGTACCTGGAAACCATCCAAATCTTCCTTTGTAGAGCCCAGGCCACCTGAAAAACAAAACAAAAACAAATAAATCCTTTTTAATTGATTCACAATCAAATGATTTTTTTGGTGCCAATTTGTAATTATAGCAACAGAGAACATTCATGGTTGCATCACTTTTCAAAATCCCCTGACTTTTCCATGATGAAAATAAGATTTCCAGGCTGACCAAATAAATACAAAATGTTGCATCTAGTAGCAGCACAGTCCTTATCATAGGTCATTAGCCCTCTGCCACCTTCAAAATCTACAATATAACACTTACCATGCTGACTCAAGTTCACAAACATTCTCAGGATACAGTCCCTATAAGAGAGAGATCAAAGTAAGAATGTTTGGCAACACATGAAGTTGTATGAAATCCTTACATTTTACCACTTTCAAAATTACATATCCTTTGATTTCACTTACAGGGAACCAGAGATTTCCAGCTTTGATTCCTATGATTAACACTTCCTCGCTCTGTCTCAGGTTTAATTCTAAGGAACAAGTCAGAGTTTATTTGAACATAAGAAAAGTAAAGGTAACCTGAATCATAATCTTGTGTACATACAGTTGCATCTTGTTATCCCAATTTCAGTCCTCTCAAACTCTCTGCGAACTACTATTCCCTCTTGACCTATTTTTCGTTTCTCTTGAAAGTTTGAGATAACAGTGCTCGTTACTGTATCTTTTTTACAAAATAAAATCCTGTCAGAAGTAAGGGTAAAGTCTGCATACAAGCCAAGTGGCCCATCAGGCTGGAGCTTATCCCGGTTTCTGCAGCATGAAGTGACTGGGAGTATTTCTACTTCCCCCCTGGATGGGATGCTAGTCCATTGCAGGGCTACACCCAGCACTGAGTTCACCGATATCCATTTATACATCTGGGTGGAGAGAGGCACTGTGAGAGTGAAGTGTCTTGCCCAAGAACAAAACATAATGTCCCCGGCCAGGCTTGAACCCGGATCACTCGATCCAGAGACAAGCGCACTAACCATGAGGCAAAAGTGCCTCCCTGTCTTGGAGTACTCTGCCAATAAATGTGACTACAGGAAAGTCTGTTAAGGAAATACAGAACATGATGAATAACACTACACGGAGAACAGAATGGCATACAAACATGACAGCAACTATAATAATTTCTAATCAATAAATACACATAAACGTCACTGACATTTTTGCCTTACCTAAGTCAACTGTCTGGTGGTAATCAATTTTAGCATCGATTGAAACAGCTAGAAATTCTTCATCTGGTATAGGCATTCCTTTGAAGGACTGGAAGTAATTGAATATAAAAAAACAATGATGTTCAGCCATGAGTCTAGGTGATGACAACTTGTTTGATTTAATTGCATGTTTAAACTTACCTTAACAAATGCTTGCTTTTCCTTCTCAATGCATTTTTTAAGTTTACTCTCCCATTTTTCTTTTTCTCTTTCTGATGATGCTAAAAATTTGTAAATCTGTGTTGGTGTTCCCACAATGAACACTGCAATTTAAAAACAAAGTTTAAAGTAAAAGTTTGTGTTGCTATGTATCACATATTATTGAATGGTTTTCTAACAAATAAAAGTCTAAGCCCTGTATTACACAGTGATAAAACACGACGGCCATTTGCAAATGGCCGGAATGTTTTATCACAGTGTAATACATGGCTTAGGCTTCTTCATTTGCTTTATGATATAGAGGTAATGTGCCGAAAAACAATAAAACATGCTTTTTCTACATTTTATACTCTGATAAAACATGGGTTTTCGACCAATCAGAGCATGCACAGGGTCCTATCTATATCATAACATAAAATAAAGCCATTGTTTAATGACTTACTAGAGTTTGGTGGATTACTGTAATATGCACTAGGTGCTGTTACCCATGCTTGAGCAAGAGAAACACTGTCCTTGAGTTTATAACTTTTCTTCCCTGTTATAAGATTTTCTGAGGCCTATAACAAAAATAAAGACTTAGTTTATGAGTTATTTTATAAAATCCTAATTATTTTATGAATTGATACATGTAATTCATGTTGTCAGTGATTGGACACAAAGTTCATAAAGAGCAGTTTTGCAAGACTTACCAAGCCAATTAACAAAATATTGTTAAATAAGAAGAGATGTCTGCAAGAAAAAAAAAAAATTACTGTCTACTGATTTTTTTAAGCCGTCTCAAACCTCATCAACTGATTCATTCACGGACACTAACCAAGTTTATCACTTATTAAAGCTTTTTTTTATTTTGTTTTAAAGCATGATTGCCTTAGTTATGTACTTGTATCTATTTATGAATAAACTTTTATATCTTAATTTTTTATTTCATTTTTAGTTAGCAGGACCCCATTCACATCAGTGCTATTGTATTAACTGAAGGGTTATCCTGACGCTTTATAAATATTTGATTATCATTGTCATTGTCCATAGAGGTGTCTCTTCGGATGTGATGTTTATATTAATTTCTATTGGTTTCCCAGGACCCATACACTGGTGGTGCATATCAAACTCCACAAAGTTATTTTTTGTACAGAGTAAATACGACTATTGTTACTCCCCTGCAAGTTGGAGGTATATTATGCTTAAAGTCCCTTTTCCCAAATGATGTGTTCAAAAGCTACCCTCCAATGAGAAGTATGGACCCCACACCCCTCTGGAAATTCAAGTTTTTGCTCATACTTTGCTTTTAAAAATTAGGCTTTCAAGACCTCCCTTCCCCTTGGAATTTGAAATAACCCTCATTGGAGTGGGTGATGGAACCACATACATGTAATACAAAATAATAAATTTTAAGTACTACAGGTTAAGCACAGACAACAATCTTGCCTTTCAGTACAATACAAAGATATTTCACTTTTTATCTCAACCTGCAATAGCTTACTAAGTAACTACCAGTTAATAAAAAAATTATTTTAATAAAGCTCATGGCAATCTCTTGCATCCCTTGCACATATATTAGCAATATTCCACAATCATTCTTCACCGACCACTGCACCCATGTCTTTCTCGTTAAAAGTGTGAATGATTCCGGCTTTGCTTTCTGACCTTTCAACTGTTTCATGTACCATTCCACCTTCACTTGCACTACTGGCTTTCTTGGTTACCCTCTCAACTTCACCTTCATAAATATATGTGCTGAAAATTAATCAGAGATATCTTACATTAATAAGCAGATAAAGACTGAGTTACACATGATCTGAATTCATCTGTGAATGAACAGGTTTTTATTGTTCCAAATTTCAATCCCGACATCTAACAGGTAGTTTCTTTAATTTCCTTGTTCAGTTCAGTTTTTTGCAAGCCTAAAAAGGAGAGAGGGCCCTGGCCAGCTTCTCCCCTATGTTTTTGCTCTCCAGTTTTCACCCTTTGCCCCAACTATAAGTCAATGCTTGAGGCTAGACACCAGGCAATTGAGTACTCTTTAATGAATTTTTGTCCTGTCTTGTTTCATGTTCATCATTATAATTATCACAGATTAAGATCAAATCATATTTTATCATATTAATTGTTACACGACATGATAAGCATAATATATTATTCTGTATTTGAGCTCACTTACCAGCTATTCAGTCAGTTGATATCATTCCTATTTAATTATTTAAGGTCATTCCCCAGTATTGCATTGCACATCCCTACTGCGCATAATTTCATGCGTGATTAGCACACACGCATTAAAAAATGGCGGCTTTTTCTTTGCGGTTGGACCTCGCCATAGAGGTAAATCGTCATTTTCTCGAAAACGAGTACGGTAACCTATCATTTTTTCCTGTTGTACTGAATTGAGTAATAAATTTCTCCATGTAAAATAAATATGGGCCAATTCTCAGTGTCGAGCAAGAAACAATCGTCGGAAACGTGAATTTAGCAAGCAATCATGACTATAATCATGGTGCTATTGTAAGGATTTATATAGTATAAACAAGGTGCTGTTGCTCCTAAACAAACATGGGAACCCCTCGTTTTTATTTCCAAATATAAGTTCCTACAATATAAACAGTCAATAGGCAAAGTTTGACAAAAATCTCAGTGCAGGTTCTAATTCAGTGGAATGACCTTAATCTTAAATTCAAGAAAGAGTGCAAATTATGAGTCCTGCTGTTGCCAATGACTGGTTTTCCCTGACATCCAAGACTACTGAAAATTAAAACTACCTTAGTTACATGAATATAATGTACCTGGTGATAAATGTCTCCCCTAATGGTGCAGTGTCTGATTCACTGTCACTGTCACTGCTATCTCCAGTCTGAGGGCGAGTAGCACGTGGCAGAGTAGTTGTATTAATGCGATGGAATTTTGGAGATGTTTCAATGCTGTCCATCAGTGGAAGAGAGATTCTGTTCATAAGGAAAAGAGATGATACAAAGTCTTCACTACAATCATCCAAGTCAGTTAGGAAAATATGCTTATTTCTTCCTCTACATTTTCATAATGAACAAAATAATATCTAAATCTAAACATGGCATGACACAAAGTGTGCTGTTTTTCCTACCGCTTGAGACTTTTTGATATACTTGTCATCTGGTCTCTTTCATGTTTCCTAAAATAGCAAAAAGAAAACAAGCCTTAAGCATTTGAAAATGGGTTATTCCAGAAAAAATGCACATCCCCCCGACGGATGGCAAACTGGAAATTCTCGTGGGAGGGGGGTAGATGGCTCAGGAAATCCGAGCGGGAGGGGGGGATCTGAACCTAAAAACTCTTCATCAGGGATCACTTTTAACTTTAACCTTGATTGATATATTTTAACCACTTAAAAAAGAACTTTGCAATGGGAAATCTTGTAGTCCTTCAGTTTATAGTGTTCTTACCTCACATGCTTTACGTTTACCTTCATAGGTCCTGTTAACAGGGGAACCAGTGCGAAAATGATAAAACATGGTCGCCTGAGCACGCAACGCCTGGAACATTTTTACAGTACCCAGGCCACCTGCACCTGTGCTTTGTAGCATCCTCAAAAATGTGAAGAAAAGACGATTAGGGTGGGAGTCAGTTGAACCTTTCTGTTTTATTCAGGCAACACAAGAACTCGTTTTGCTGACTAACATGCGTATGCACAATTTGCATATAATTTCTTTCTTACCTCTTACGATGTGTAACTGTAAAATCGTGGATACGATATACCACCATGCATTGTGAATCTAAATGACCTCACAAGAGCACAACTTGTTTATAAACAAATGTACTTATTTCGGCATTGTTAAGTTCTTTAAGTATTTCACATCGAAGATTCCTCGTCGGATCTACAAGGGTTTTAAGCAGTTTTATCTAGGCTACTTCCACTTTATTATCCATGCCTTACAATCGATATGGTAAAAGACAAGTTTATGGGAGCCAGAGCATGGGCATTACGCTTTAAAACTTGAATGCTNGATACGATATACCACCATGCATTGTGAATCTAAATGACCTCACAAGAGCACAACTTGTTTATAAACAAATATACTTATTTCGGCATTGTTAAGTTCTTTAAGTATTTCACATCGAAGATTCCTCGTCGGATCTACAAGAGTTTTAAGCAGTTTTATCTAGGCTACTTCCACTTTATTATCCGTGCCTTACAATCGATATGGTAAAAGACAAGTTTATGGGAGCCAGAACGTGGGCATTACGCTTTAAAACTTGAATGCTTGAAAGAAAGGCAAGAGTTCCAGTTGACCTACAGACCCATAAAGGTAACGAAATTTAAAATTAGTCTAGTTCGAAAAGCTTTCTTAATAAGCTTGCAAGTAAGTAAATGTCACACAACAGTCCTAAACATGTGTCAATGTAGGCCGTCTTGTCACCTAAAACTGAAATTATAGTTTTCATTTATAATCGCCTTAAGGACTTTTTTTCGCTGTAATTCTTCTTACATTTACATAATTTTTAAGACTTACGAATTTCTTATTTTGTACATTTGTTGTGGTACAGAAAAAGGCTAATGGTGTTTTAGAGGAGAACGTTAGACACGATCGTTTGAATAATCTGATTTAAAAAATGTTGAAATTTAACCCGCAAAATTCGCAATATTCGCTGAGCGTTTAAAATTATAATGAACAGGGTTCTTTTGAATGAAATGTTACGTCTTTTCTATTGCCTGTTGTTTCCAGTTAGGGCCTTTAAAAAAAACATGGAAATCCGGGCGGGAGGCGGGGTCCTTGAGCTTGGAAATCCGGGTGGGAGGGGGGCTCTAGCAGTCTGGGAAATCCAGTCAGAGGGAGGGGTCAAAAATGCTTGCCATCCATCGGGGGAGTGTGTATTTTTTCTGGAATAACCCAATGTCGGGTACAAAAAAATGAAACCTTAATATATTTAGCTGTGATCAGCCAAAAATGTACAATTATATTCAAATACACACAATTACTACCCAGTATTTGCACTAAAAATCTTTCTTTTTCATGCCATTAGCAATAATTGGCACGATCGACAGGACTTTCTATGGACATGAAGAATTTCTTTGCCAACTGCCACCAGATGTCAAATTAAATTAAGCCCATGGAATGTTACCTTAGACGTACTGTTCCAAAATGTTTTCCTGAAAATAGAAAATCATGTCAGAATATACACAAAAAGTAACTTGTCCGATCATGATGCAGTAAAACAAACGTTAAATTGATGATCGATTGGGTTTCAGTATTTTCAAGTTCTAGTCTCTTCTTAAGAAAGATTTTCCCTTGGAAGCTAAAATTTGTTGGTAAGTACTGCGAAGTGGTTTTCAGTTGTGTGTCATTGAGTGATTATAACGACCTGTCATGACAAAATAATACATCTGTGCCATAAACTAATGAGAACTCAAAGCAAACAAACAATTACGAGGAAAGCACAGGAAAACACCCATGTTAACTAAGATGCAATAATCTATCACTTTGGTTTTGTATCTGACATTTCAGAACTGTTAGAGTTAAGAACATATCAGCATGTTCATTGTTGCAAACTCTATTTCTCTGCATGCCACACAGTCATCAGTATTAAATAGAATTTTTCACCATGTTAGAAGTTGTCATGAACGAGAGTTGATCCAAATGCTATCAATTGTAGAGTCATTAACAATATTTAAATCACCTGAAGTATTTTGTGTTGCAGGTCGAATGAGATTCTGTGAAACAAGAAGAAATTATAGTGATGAGAACAACCTGGGGGTATAAAATAGAGCAACCATTAAACAATACATCCAGAGAAAACATTTTAGAAGTAAATAAATGCTAGACTAAGTAGATGACATAATTATTTGGGAATCATCATGTTACCATTACCAAATGCACATTTTTAACATTTTAAAATTTGCATTTCATAATAATGGCAAGATGATGCCAAAACATAATACACTAGTTAACATTTGTATTTCTTTTAAGAAGTGAGCTATTATTAAAAATAACTAATACTGAGTTGAAACTTACCAATTCATCATTAGGAAAACTTTTCATAATTTCAACAACTTTGGTTTCATTCTCTATTTGACGAATGTGTTCATTTAACGCTTCAGCAGTCTGTGGATTAGATTTAAATTCAGTCTTAATATACTACCAATTTCTCTAAACCAGACATCAACCAACAGTCTGGTAATCAGTGATAAGTCAGAATTAACATTTTGAACTTGAGTATGTACACACGACTGGCCTTTTCTTTCGGTATAAAAATGTGATGATTCACCTAATTAAGTGTACTAATATCAAGAAACAGTTTAAACTTCTGAAAAATTAAATATGGATTGGTATACCATCCTAATGTTTAGAGCACAGACCTCCAGATCGAGCAGTCCTGGCTGAACCCTGGCTAGAGTCATTTCACGCATTCTTGAGCAAACAGTTCTACTCTCACACCACTTCTCTCTCCACTTAGGTGTTTAAATGAGTAGTGGGGGTAACCCTGTGATGGACTAGCATCTCATCTGGGATAAGCTCAAGCTGTATGGACCACTTGGCCTGATGCAGACTTCATCTTTACCTACAGTACACACTAGCCTTACCTTTTGGGCTTTGCTTTGTGCTTCCTTCAAGTTCTCATAATCAGGGTGATCCTACATTCAAGTAATTGAAAAGAATACACATACCTTAAAGCAGGGCTCAAAAAAAGGGCTGTCCCATTACTTGTCCCGGACAAGAAGATTTTCCTTCTGGGCAAGTAACTTTTCATTCTCACTGGTCCAATGGGCAAGGGATCAGGCAAGATGTCTGACAGCTAAATCATTTAAAGAGCAAACTATGACTTGCCCAGGGCAGGCAAAATTTGAGAGCTATAGTCCTCCCAAGGGCAAGCTGGAATTCAAGGTTTTTTTAAGCCCTGTTAAAGGCAAATTGAATCATAGCTGTGCCAGCTGTCCACAATGCAGATGGTTATAATGAGCAGGAAATGATAAGAAATATGAAAACCCCACACTTTAAATTTCTTTTCAAAACTCTTAGAACCTATTTTCAAACTTTTCATGTTCAAGTGAGACTTGACAACTGAAATTGTTCTTACTAAACTCTATATCAGGAATCAAAGATCACTTTAAATTTATTTCACATGTATATATATTTGTATGTGTTACATGTAATCATTTTTGGATTCATTTGACAATCATGCCCCATTAGATAGAAACCAATCATGTAGTTAACCACACCTCTCTTGTTCTTTTCACCAACTCCTTTAATATGAGTTCATATCTGGGAACCCTCTAAAGAATAAGAAAATCATGTCATAGACCATTTCAGAAGTACATTTATTAATAAGTTATTTTTACAAATATTTCACTGACCTGACACAATTCTCCTTAAAATGCCCAAATATTATCATGTAGAAGATTAAGTATCTATACAAAAATAATGGCAAGGCAGTTTACTATCTGACTATTGAGAGACAATTCACATGTCAATTGATAATACAGGCCATCACTGAAACAAAATTCCCTTCCTACATGTACCTGGATTGGCATAAGTAGCAGTGAATCCAGCGTATGGCTGCAATTGACCTGAGAAGAAAAGTGTTGTTAGTAACCTCACCCTTGTTTTCAGTTAACAATAAAGATGAATTCATAGACTCAACAGATTAATGCTTGAATTATTTGGTACACATCTTCCATCTTGTATCTCACTGAGCAGAAAAAGAGGGGAATCTCTGTCTCACAGGGTAACTCATAATAAACCAACAGTACAATTATTAATAGTAAAATTTTATTGATTATAATATTTAATAATAATAATAATAATAATAATAATAATATTGTTATTATTATTAAAATAGACCAACAGTATAATAATTATAAATATGCTGTTTCTCTCCTGGACTGTAAAGAATGATGCCATGAACAGCAATCATGTCGAACACTCGGCAAGCTAAGGAAATGATTGTTATCTTTTAGAGAAATACTGACAGTCTTTTTTTTATTACTGCAAAATATATCTTTCGACACTGTTTATTATTTATTTCCAACTATCTCACCTTGGCCAAAAAATTCCTGAATTTCTCGTTGTTTCTTTCCAACTTCGATTTTACCTGACAAGGAAAAATGCTAATTTCAAATCAAAAAACAATTTCCAGTTGGAATCTGATTCTAAAGATTGAAGCAGTTACTGTTAATGTATTACCAATACATGACTTAGTTCATGTATATACATACTCCCTATAAAGTGGCTAAATTCTGGAGTCGGGTGGCAGCTCTCGTAAGGTCTCCCATGAATCGCTTACAAGTTACCCTTTGAGAGGACAATAGAGCCAACAACAGAAACAACCCCAAAACAATATGAGCTGCTAACAATGAAAAGAATTACAAGCTTACAAGAGCTGCCACACTTCTGAAATTCTGGACTAGTTCTGTCTATCATTTTCAGAGAGATGCATCATCAATGTGTGTTTTGGACAGACAAGTTCTAACTTGCAATTTCAGCTCTTCCAATGCAAACCAATCCCCCATACTACCTCAATTGCAAAAGAACTTATTTTGGGTACAGTGGAAATGCATTAATTATAATAATTATAATATCATGCTTTATGCCATACCTAATTGCCTCTCTTCCTTGATTTAAAATATGGTTCAAACATCATCATGTAGGAAAACTGCAAAATACAAGCACTGTATAAATTTCATATTCTGAACAAAGCTATCCATCATTAAAGTTGGGTTGGCAAGAATTCTATCAAATCCACACATACCAGAAACATCATTGATCAGTTATTAATTGTTGTTTTTAAATAATAATCATTATACAACTTTGTTTTGTATGTAACTATATGTAATTTTCCTCTTGGTCAGGTGGCTCTAGATATTTTTAATAACTTAAGCAGCTACAGCTACCGAGCCTTAATATATAAAACTCAAACTACAGTAGAAATAAAGTAACTGGAAATTCCCCTCACGCTCCCCTCCACAGAAAACCCACTGTTCAGAGAGAAAATGCTGTCAAATCTCAGGAGAGTTTCCAACTTACCGTAATTACACATGATAATGTTTAGCATGTCATTACTAACCATTTCTACAAGAATGTCCCCAATCTGAGTTGTATTAACGTCCCAGTGAGCCAAACGTGCTTGAAGTTTAGCAACCAGTTCTTTACTAATGGACTCTAAGGACTGAGAAAAATTAAAATAACTGATATTGATCAGGCTTAAATTGAACAGTTCTGCTCTAGGAAAAAAAAAATGAAATGATTTTCATTTCATTTGGTGTTTCAAGAAATACTAAAATAAAGACAGGGAGTTGCCTACCTCTGCATTGGCAAAAATTCTTTTCAGATCTTCATTTGATATAATACGAAGCTTCCTGAGTGGTCTTATATAATGCTAAGGAAATAAGTACAATTAAATGACTAATTATCATTTGCACTTATTTTATCAGATGCAGCTCTACAGTGTGTACTGTGGTTCCGTTCACTATTTCCTTGGAGAACCCTAAGAAAACAGGTCCTGCATGTAGGCCGTATACATCAAAGTAATAGGGCTGGAAAAAATGTGTACACCCCAGGGCTGTCAATAAGGGCCATAACCCATAGCACCTGTTATGGCTGTGCATGCTTGATGGGCCCTTGATGTTACAGGTGAACTTGCCTGTAGTTGATACAATTCACCCATAAAGTAACAAGTTTGTTATGGGTGTGAAGATCAAGACTACAGGTGAATTAAAACTTAATGACAGCCCTGCACCCTACTAGAAAAGCTAAAGCCCTGCAAAACTGATGAAAATTGATGAGAGTCAGATTTCTTCTTTTTCCTGATAATTCAGTTGCCAACTTGCCTTTTCAAGGTCAGGGCGCATGGACCTTGCTCTGCTCGGTCTGCAGCTCCTGACCTGAGCAAAATATTTTTCCATCCAGTCCTCCCACTCCGTCAAAAAGTACATTTAATTCTTTGTAATTGCTAGAGGGCTTCAAATAGGTACCTACCCCAGACAAGAGATTTAAGCCATTGAAGTAAGACACCTCTGACGTCAAGAGCTCCTGAAGAACAAAATAGCATCTCCATTGGTATACATGTACATAGTAAATATTATCAATCAAGAAGAATTCCAGGCACACAAATAGATAATTTACTTAATAATCTTAGTTACCAGAGAGACATTTGAAAATTTCTCACATTCAGCTAATTAATTTTATCTCTCTAAGTACTAATCACTGGAAGATTATTACACAGACTAAAAATAATTTGCGGCGTACCATTGCTGCTCTAGTTCTTTTCCGCTCCTCTGATTCTATAGTTTAAAACACAATGGAAAACATGATATGCATGACATAAGTTCAGTTCAACCAGTAATTGTTTGTCTGACTAGAAATAATTGTGCGACACTCACAGGACCTCAAGGGAAGATACAGTCATGTATCCAATTAAATAAATATTACAAATGTGCATGCATTCACTAAATATAGATTCTCAGTCTTCACTTTCATTTTTCAAGGACTTGAATCAAAACAATTCAGTGAGAGGATCTTTATCAACAAAAAATTGAGATTTATACTTGCCACAGGGCTATTATATTGCCTACAAGAAGGGTCTTTCTTAGGCTGCAACTAGTTGCAACTACTACATGTATAGGGCAAAACACTGTTAAGTACTAATCCATTTTGTGTGTCCCACCCATATAGCTTTTGAAACTAGTAAGTGGTTATCTGCAGTGATAATTACAGTCAAACCAAGAGCTCTGGACACAGTCTATAATAACGAGACCTCTATATTACGGACAGGTTATCTCTGGTACCAGAGAAGCAAGAATTGTTATGTTCTCTACCTCTATTATACAGACACCTCCATAAAACTGGCTCTGAGTCTTAATTGTTATCAAAATTAAAGAGGTTCCACTGTATTAATTGTGGAGGTGCAGTGGCCTCAAGGTTAGTACTCTGGCTAATAGATCGAGCAGTCCGGGTTTGAGTCCTGGCCAGAGACATTGTGTTTGTTCTTGAACATGACACTTACCTCCCACAGTGCCCCTCTTTCCCCAGGTGTATAAATGGGTATCAGTGAACTTAATGCTGGGGGTAACCCTGCGAAAGACTAGCATCCCATCCAGGGAGAAGTAGAAATACTTCTAGTCATTTCATGCTACTGAAACAGGAGATAAGTGCCAGCCTGATGGGCCACTTGGCTCAAATACTGACTTAACCAACCTTTACCTACTGCAGGGCTTGAAATTAACTTTTTCGTTTGGGAGCCAGCTGGTGAGTAACGGAAAAATTTTGTCGCCAGATCATAACTTTTGGTCACCAACTTATCTTACATATAACTCACACAAGAACACGATTTTATAGTTTACTTTGCACGCAAGAAAAGTCGCAATTGAAGAGCGAAAACAATTAGAAACAACACGAGTAACACTTAGTTATAAAGCTACCGTTGTTCTCAGGTGATATGTCTCTGGTCCGAAGGTGATGGTTGTCTCCATAGTCATTTTAAATCAAGCGAAGAATAAAACGTTTTAAGTCCGTGGTTTTCATTATGAGACAAACATGGGTCCTTGCATATTTTCATATTTTATTCAACAACTGATCAAGGATTCAAAGTTTGGATTAACATTTTGGCTGAATCTTCATTCCCCACATCAAAACTCACGTAATTCCGTCAACAGATTGGTATCTGCCGCCATTTTCATGGCAAATGAAAAGCACATGGTGTTGAAGTGCGCCTGCGATCCCAGTTTCGGAAGAAGCCGCTGAAACAGTATG